AGGTGGTAGGTGGTGGTGGTAGGTGGGTGGCGGATGGCAGGTGATGGTAGCGGGTGTAGTGGTAGGTGGGTGGCTGACGATGGCGGTGGTGGTGGTGGTGGTGGTGTGGTGGTGGTGGTGGTGGTGACGAGTGGTGGGTGGCGGGTGGTGGTGGGTGGTGGCGGGTGGGTGGTGGTGACGGGTAGGTGGCGGGTGGTTTGATGATGAGTGGGTGGGTGGGTGATGGTGGCAGGTGGTAGCGAGTGGTGGGGGTGGTGGTGGTGGTAGTGGTGGGTGGCGGATAACGGGTTGGTGGTGGGTGGTGGCAAGTAGATGGTGGTAGTGGTGAGTGGATGGGTGACCGATGGCGGGTGGTGGGTGGTAATGAGTGGGTAGGATGGCAATGGATAACCTACCCTGTGGGTATCCATGGAGACCCAATCCAAATACATGGTGTTTCCCTCTTTTGCTTATCCATTGGGTAGGGTAAGTGATATTCTTTAAATATCCACAGGGTAATGAATTGGGGATGGGTACCCACTAATTTCCCCCATATCTTTTTTTTTTTCTTTTTTTTTTTTCTTTTTTTTTTAAGATTCATAACCAAAACTAAATATACATTCAATCTATTTTTTATTTATTTATTTTTTTCAGGTTCAAACCAATTTTTTTTTTTTTTTTTTTTTTTTTTAAATCCACAGCCAAAGCTAATATACCTCAATCTTTTCTTTTTTTTTATTATTTTTTAAGTTTCACAACCATTTTTTTTTTAATTTTAAGATTCAGAACCAAAGCTAAATATACATTTAATCTTTTTTCTTTTTTTTTATTTATTTTTTTTAAGGTTCACAACCAATTTTATTTTATTTTATTTATTTTTATTTTTTTTTTTTTTAAGATTAACAACCAAAACCTAAATATACATTAATCTTTTTTTTTTTTTTTTTTTAAATTTTTTTTTAAGGTTCACACCAGTTTTTTTTTTTTTTTTTTTTTTTTTTTTTTTTTTTTTTAAGATTCACAACTAAAGCTATACATTCAATCTTATTTTATTTTATTTGGCTCAACAATAAAATCAAATACGCATTAATTACAATTGTCACATTCTTCTTGTCAAATTTATGCACATCTAGAATTTTTTAAATTTTATTTAAAAAAATTAAGGAACTGTCTAGTGTAGGTTTCGATTTGCTTTTCTATGTTATTTTATTTTGTTTGTGTATTGTAATTTTCAGAATGGTTTGTTTGTTCTGAAATTTCAATTAACGAGTATGAATCTATTTTTTTATATTATCAACCAATTTATACACACATATATATATATATAATATATATATATATATGAATGTATTTTGAAAATAGGAAATTGTAAGAGAATCAAAAAAGTCCTGCCACCACCACCACCACCACCACCACCACCACCCACTCGTTACCACCCATCACCCGCCACCGTCACCCACTCACCTACCACCACCACCTACCACCACTTGCTACCCACCACCCACCGTCACCACTTTCCATCACCGTCTTCCGCCGCCACTTGCCACCACTTGCCATTTCTCACTCTTTTTTATATTTTAAATTTTTTTAAACATTTTGTCAACTACCAAACGCGTTTGTGGTTTATGTTTTTCTAAAATAAACAAAAAATAAACAAAAACCAATTTGTAAAATTTTTGTAAATATAAACTGAAAACGTAAACGTTACCAAACCGACGCTAAGTGTTTTTTTTTATTGTTTCTCATAGATAAATAGACCCTTATGGAAAAGAAACTCAAGAGAATGGTATATATTTTCCAAATAACTACCTATTTGCAAATGTTTTTGTTTCCATGATTTTCGTATTTGGTTTAGAGCATTTTTATTAAATTAGGTTTTTTTTTTTTCCTATTAAAATAGCGAGAAAAACACCAAATTTCACTATCATCAAACTATCCATCAAGTTAGTCATTTTAGTTTGGATAGTTTTGATGCCACAAATATAGCTAGTGGTTTTGCCTAATGAAACATTAAAAAAATATAACCTCAAGGGACTGGTTTAGTGGACACAACTTAGGGTCTAGAATTATACTCCCTGTTAGTCTCAGGTTTAATACTCACTAGCTGTAATAAGTTCTTTTGGGGCCAGTACATACGGGGTATTTCCTCTGACTTTAAATGGGGTTTCGTAAGTAGGCGGTGAGATTGGTTCCCCACGATTAATGAAGATCGGTTATCAAAAAAATATATTTAAAAAATATACTTTTCATATTTTAGAATTAATTGTGTTAGGTTTATAAAAAACAATTCTAAATTAAAATGAACAAAATTAATATTTAAATAGTGTAGAGAAATAATAGAAAGTTTGTTAGAGAATATTTAAAAAGATGTATAGACAAATTTAAAAAATAAAAAATAAATTAAAATTAAAATGTAATAAAATTTTAACTAATTGGATGGAGATGTTCTTATATTAAAAATGTCTAAGAGCACTAAAAGTAGAGCTCTAATGAAAGCTCTACTTATGTAACAGTGGAAAAATAAGACACATTCATCAAATTATTCATGAGTAAAGTCATTGTTAGAATTTCAAATTTAAAGTTATGAATCAATTCTTTTCTTATATTGTAAACAATAATGCTAGGTAGCTCAAAATTTTGTGACTCAAATGGCTCAAATCCTTCAAAACGACGTCGTTTTGAGTGTAAACAAGTGTAAAACGATGTCGTTTTGAGGGATTTAAGCCATTTGAGCCACAAAATTTTGAGTTACGAAACATTTTCCTATTGTAAAATGCCAAGTCATTGCTACGGCAGTGCTAAGTATCAACATAGACCCACGTGCTATTCACATGTTCATGTGTATCCACATTTTAAACACGTTTGATTTGATTTTTAAAAATTTATTTTTAAAAAAATTAAAAATTAAAAATTTATTTGGTGAAAGAAATTTAAAAAAAAAAAAAACAATACCTATCATTTTTTATTTTTTGTGAGGTTAGAAATAATTTTTAAAAATTTAAAAATAATTTTTGATATTTATTTTTTTTAAATTAGTTTCCATTTTTTGAAAAAAAAATCTGAATTTTTTTTTTTCCCAAAAACAAACCAAACATATAATAAATTAGAAAATTGTTGTATGTCACTATTTATTTATTGGAAATAATTATTAATACATTAAAACAAACAAATAATATCTTATTAAATCAATAATATAAAATAATAAAATAAATAAGTGTGGCTAATAAATTATTGATTTTGTGCACATCTGGTTTGTGCAGATTGTGAAGTCAATACTAGACCAAAACTACATTAACAGAAATGCACAGAATTTCGAGGGTTTGACGGCCAGAGACTTCGCTATTGAACTTGGTGAAAGTGAAGCGAGAAGAGAAATTCTTGATATGTTATTCTCAGAATCTTTACATGGTGCTAATATTAATAATACGTATAGTCTGGGTGATTTTTTAAAGTCGGGTGATGATGTTTTGGAAGGTATATGCGGATGGATTTTTAGAGTGCGAAGTGGTTTGTCATTGGGGGATCCATTTCTCAGTTTGGTACGACTAGTATTGAGTGTTTTGGAAGTTATACATGGATGGATTGCTAGATTGGGACGAAGTATGAACTCCGCAATTTACAAACGCCCACTCATACCAAATTTACTATTGGTAATCTGCATGATCCCAGTTGCAATCAAAATTTTTATCACCATCACGTCCACTTTTGGACTTAGCCTTCCAAGCAGACTCCTTGATAACAATCATAGTCTTCCTATTTCCAACACCACTGCTTACAACACTGCTAATGGAGAAGCTGTTACATTCGGAAAGAACTTCTTATTATTATTTTATAACGAAGTTGCATTCTGCATTGCGTTGTTAATCATGATGTCCTTGCTTTTCAGATCAAGTATTGTCTTCCTATTCTGTTTGATGACTATCTGGCAGATATTACATGACTACATATCAACATCATTGTCAGCCGGTGACATTATTGACAGCCAACACCTTTCTGCACTTGTGTTTTCTCTCTTAGGTTTCTTTGTCATTTCTTACTGGAATGAAATGATACACTCGCCAACCCATGAGATGAAACGCTTTCAGATGCTGCAAAGTTTGTTTGATGAATTAAATTAAAAAAATATTCATCGCATCTGTGGCAAAATCAGGTGAGCCGAAGAATATATATGGGAGTGGTGGTCCATAGATTCTTCAACAAGATTTCATCTCGGATCATAAGTTGCTGCTGCCTGTAATTGTCTCCCGCAAATTACCCTAGGTGTCTTTTTAATCAATTGGCCTCTTTGCCTCCCCTTATTGTTGGTTTATCATTATCCTTTTTGTATCTTGATATTTTCATCAATAAAGTTTGTTTTTGTTGATAAAAAAATTGAACTCTCAATTTGTGCTTCACCGGGGGCTGTTTATATGATTTTTGTAAAATGGGATTGATTATATCATGAATGATGGATTGGATTAATGATTACTAGCATATTGAATGAGGTTATATATATATATATTCCTTTCCGAAGTACCAAATATATATATATATATTATAAGAATGCTTTATTAATTTATTTTATTTTATTAGACGGAGCAATATGATTAATACTATGACCACTACTAGAAATCAGCTTTTTAGGGACAAATTTATTCAGTCCCTAAAAGTGTAATATTTGTTGGGAAAAACTTTTACCAATCAATTTTCTTCGTTGCGAAGTTTGTCCCAAATGGCCCGTCCAGAAAAGTCAAAAAATGACTTTTAGAAACAAAATTTTGCATTTGTCACTATAAATAGACTTTTAGAGACAAAAATGTGGTTGCAAAAAGTTTTGATTTTGACACCACCAAAATTTGTCTCTAAAAGTCTAATTATAATCCAGACAAAAATTAATTTTTAAGACAACAGAAATTGGTCTCTAAAAATTTAGTTTTTGGGACAAATGAAAGTGACCTCCAAAAGTTTTAGTTTTTGGAACAAATGAAAGTGAAGTTTTAGTTTTTGGAACAAATGAAAGTGGTGCGTAAATGTTATAATTTTTTTAAGACAACTAAAATTGGTCTCTAAAAGTTTGATATTTTTATTTTATTTATTTTTTTATTTTTATTTTTATTTTTTTTGTAACAATTACTCTAAAAATACTAGTATGAACATCAACTTATCTTCATTTCTTGATTCCTCAACAACCAAACAGAAAATATCAAACATATCACCAGACTATCTGTTCATCTCCAAATTAAAATTCAACTACACGAAGAAAAAAAAAAAAAATGCTCATCATATTCAAAGAGGCTTAATCAAAAGATATTTCAATAACAAAAAAATACCATGCTCTGATTCATTAATATGTAATATCTTGATTGTATATCATAAGCTGACAGAGATTTCAAAAGTATCATTTCCAATTTATAAGGCTAGTGTCGTAAGCATTGTTTGTAACATTCAACTATTCAATGAACAGATTGTAATTGGAGTTATATCTATCTACGTAACAAAACAACTAAACTCATTGCATCTTCTTCTCAAGGACTTCATTGAAATGGCATTTTTCTAATATAAAATAGTAAAATAAATAAGTGATATATAAGCGTGGTTAATAAACTATTGATTTTGTGCACATCTGGTTTGTGCAGATTGTGAAGTCAATACTTGACCAAAACTACATTAACAGAAATGCAGAGAATTTCGAGGGTTTGACGGCCAGAGACTTCGCTATTGAACTTGGTGAAAGTGAAGCGAGAAGAGAAATTCTTGATATGTTATTCCCAGAATTTTTACATGGTGCTAATATTAATAATACGTATAGTCTGGGTGATTTTTTAAAGTCGGGTGATGGTGTTTTGGAAGGAATATGCGGATGGATTTTTAGAATGCGAAGTGGTTTGTCATTGGGGGATCCATTTCTCAGTTTGGTACGACTAGTATTGAGTGTTTTGGAAGTTATACATGGATGGATTGCTAGATTGGGACGAAGTATGAAATCCGCAATTTACAAACGCCCACTCATACCAAATTTACTACTGGTAATCTGCATGTTCCCAGTTCTAATCAAGAATTTTAACACCATCACGTCCACTTTCGGACTTAGCCTTCCAAGCAGAGTCCTTGATAACAATCATAATCTTCCTATTTCCAACACCACTGCTTACAACATCTCGAGTTCAAGTCACACTTTAGGGTCACTGGAGGTTTGTCCGGTCGTTAACTTCAGTCATACCTTAGAGTCACTGGAGGTTTGCCCGGTTGTTAATTTCAGAGCTCCAAGATTAGTTGAGGTGATCGAAAGCTGGCTCGGACCCTCGGATATCAAAAAGAAAAACACCTCTAATGGAGAAGCTGTTACATTCGGAAACAACTTCTCATTATTATTTCATAATGAAGTTGCATTCCGCGTTGCGTTGTTAATCATGATGTCTTTAATTTTCAGACCAAGTATTGTCTTCCTATACTGTTTGACGACTATCTTGAAGATATCAAATGACTACATATCAACATCATTCTCAGCCGGTGACATTATTGACAGACTACCCCTTTCGGCACTTTTGGCTTGTGTATTTAGTTTCTTTGTCAGTTCATACTGGAATGAAATGATAGACCTGCCATCCCATCGGATGAAACGCTTTCAGATGTTGCAACGTTTGTTTGATGAATTAAATTAAAAAAAATTCATTGCATCTGTGGCAAAATCAGGTGAGCCGAAGAATATATATGGGAGTGGTGGTCCATAGATTCTTCAACAAGCGTTCATCTCTGATCATAAGTTGCTGCTGCCTGTAATTGTCTCCTGTAGATTACCATATGTCTTTTTTATGAATTGAGTTCTCCGCCTCTCCTTATTGTTGGTTTATCATTATCCTCTTTGTATTTTGATATTTTTATCAATAAAGTTTGTTTTTGTTGATAAAAAAATTGAACTCTCAATTTGTGCTTCACCGGGGGCAGTTTATATGATTTTTCTATTTTTTTATTTTTTATTTTTTTTCAAAAAATAGAAAAAGACCCAAATGGACTATAGATTATCATTATTTTTTATGATAAATGTAGACAAATAGTGAATAACAAAAAAATAAAAGTTAATTGAAAAAACTATTTCACAGCTTATTTAACAAATACCACTTAGTAATTTAAATCTATAATCCAACAGTTACACAAAACAAATTAATAGCTCCTCATTAAAGTCATAGTCTATAATCTGTTAAGCTATAATTTATAATCTGTTTTAACAGGTATACCAAAGAGGGCCTTAGTTTCTTAGTTTTCAAGAGGACCAAAAAATCCTCATTTTTAATGTAGGGTTTGGCTTGAGTATTTGAGTTTGGTAGACTCATTTTGAAACCGATTTCAGTGATCTAAACCGTTTTTAGATTCGCTGGGTAGAATATTTATATAAAAAATAAAGATGATTAAACATTAGTAGTTATATGTTTGAATCATATTTATTTTTAAAAAATAGATAGCAAATATAATTTCAAGAATAACTATTCATTTTTTGTAATACAAATTTGATTTAAACATATAGCTATCGATGCGATCTCATCTTGATTTTTTGTAAGAATATTCTACTCAATAAATCTTAAAAAGTGAACGATTCAGATCATTGAAACAAGGCCTGTGGTAGGCTCTACAACTCCTCATTAGAGAGGAGAAAAAACAGAGCGACAAAACTTTCATCTGTCATCTCTTCCTCATTAGCAACAAAAACTAGCAATGCATATTATTATTAAGGAATTACATGAGTCATGCTTCCCAACCCCTCAAGAGGGTGGCACGTGCAACTCGGCTCACTCCTAAAGTGAATGTACCCATACGAAGGTTGCATCCATGGGTACTGCACATCGCCTTGATTTCATGAAAAGTTCTCCTCAAGTACTTCTCAAGCTCATGGTTTACTTTCTCCTCATCCCACATGAACCCTTGAATGTTCTGCAGTACACACACACACACACAGATCAAATTATGTCATGGACTTAATAGTTGCATATTTTAAAACACACGAGTAGATTTTCTGGCTGTTCGTGTTACCTGAACCCACTTGAAGTAACTCACAGTCACACCACCAGCATTTGCATATATGTCAAGAAGTACAACAACTCCTTTCTTGGATAAAATCTGCATAGGAGATGTATTATGAGATAGTCTTTATATGTTTGAAATGTCGTGCCTCTTCACAAGGTATGTACTAGAAAGAACCATGGATGCATCATTACCTTATCAGCTTCAGGGTCAGTAAGATGATTTGCAGCTTCTATAACAAATTTTGCTTTCACATCAGCAACATTGTCCCTTCAAACAACAAAACTTGTGTCATTAGTGGTTGACAAACAAGTCAAAACTAATATCTACAAGACATTCTTCTATTCTAGTAAATGAGAATTTCAAAACATGTATCACTGACAAGGATATACTAAATCATTTTTTCTTGTTGGACAGGCCATAGGATATGTTTTACTTGTGATAATTTATTTTTGATGGATTATGTAAAGCTAAAGAAGCACTAATGCACCTATGCAACAAGGAAGGAATAAGCAAAGAATACGGGTTTCATAGATTGGCAGAGCACATACTTGATGAGAACGCCACCTAGAGCACATGAAATGAGAACATCACATTCTTGAATTAGCAAGTTGTTTGGATCCATAACATCTCCACCATTGAACCCCTTCAAACTGTTCGTGCTCTCCTTGTGTTTCAGGAGAGCTGGAATATCAATCCCGTTGGGGTTCTCAACTACCCCAGTAATGTCACTTACTGCCACAATCTTTCCACCTCGCTCATGAATAAGCTTTGGCTGCCCAAGAGCCCACATTTCCAAATCCCTAAGAAATTAACCATTGTAACAAAATTAATAATTAGCATATTTTTTTTTTGATCAGCAAAAAAGAACCTTTATTGATGAAAAATCATACAAGAGATGAGATTACATCAAATAAAGGGAAGGAATTTGGTGAGGAACCAAACCCGAAAGGAAGAGGATCAAAACAGAACAGAAAAACTAAACAGTACAAGCACAACACACACAGCAGTAGGAAGGCCTACTATTGCATACAAGAACCTAAGCCAAAAACAATTCAACATGCAAGCTTAACCCTTTGCCATCAGCCCAGAATTACACAGCAGATTCAACCATAGCATATTAGCAAACCTTAGCTTAGCAGCCCAGAGTCCACCAGCAGACCACCAATAGACCAGCAGATCCAAACAATGTAACAACAGACTACCAGCAGACCAGCAACATAGCAAATCAAATAAACAGCACCATAGCAGAACACCATATCAGAACACCAACCAGGACTTATACTTTTGTAGCCAATATCAAGTTAGAATAGCTACTGTTTGTGGAATTGCTGCAACCTAACTAATCAAAACCTCAGAAGCTTGATGGCTATTGCACAAGCACACACTGATGATTCTACAAATACACAAATACACTGATGATCCTTCCCACTATTAGATCCTTCTCATATCACAACCTCAATATCTTGATCCTTCTTATTCTGCAAACTCAGTAGAATTTAGTGAGCTTCTGTTTTGAACTCCAGTCAATAACCCAGCACATTAAAATGCACCATACTAGAACAAAAACCTTCACCCTCCATTCTTGATACAATATTTCACCTGAGGCAGATTAAAGACCAAATCATTAATGGAGAAATCAACCTGGATTTTCGATGCTTTGAACCACATAGCAACTCTAACCTTCACTAAATCACACAAAGCTTCCAGATTTGGTTGAGAGCCATCGAAGACACACTCATTTCTGTGCTTCCATGTGGACCAGAGAGTGGCCAAAGGGATGGCCATCCAGATTTTCTTCTCCAGCCTCTGCATCACACATCCGGACCACCATTCCAGCAACCCATGCACAGATCCTGGAATCACCCATTGCAATCCCCACCAACAAATAATATCTGACCAAAGCCGCCACGCAAAAGGGCAGTGGAGCAAAATATGTTCCACAGATTCAACCTCAATATGACAAAAAACACAGCCAAGGTTTACATTACCTGTGAGAATTCCAATTCTATGAAGAAAATAAGAGGTTTTAACCTTACCAAGCCAAGCTAACCACCCGAAAAATTGCACTTTTGGAGGCACAAAGTTGTTCCGAATTGAGGCAGCCATTGGAATTGTAGATCCCAGAGAAGATTCAGTCCATTTATAAATTAATGAAACAGAAAAGAGCTTAGAAGGGTCTGCACACCAAAGAAGCTCATCAGGTTTGGTACTACACAGTATTGGTGCAGAGCTAAGCAAACGGGATAATCTATATGCTTCTTCCTCCTCCCAAGCCATCAAAGTTCTTCTAAATCCTAGGTTCCATCCACCATCCTCTGCCCTTCTTTCGAAAAACACACTAACCACACCATCTTTATCATTAGATAATAAGAAAAGCCTTGGAAATTCATTCATTAAGCAAACATTACCCACCCACTTGTCCCTCCAAAAAAGAACTCTTCTCCTATCCCCCAGAACTATCTTAGAATTATTCATATAGAACTGATGCAGCTCTGGATTGGAATGAACAGCATGAATTATATCAGTCCAGAGTTTTGAACCTCTACCAAACAGTTTTGGGAACCATCTTCCATCCACTGGCACATATTTTGCACAAATCACTTCCTTCCAAAACGATTGATTCTCTACACCAAATCTCCACCACCATTTTAATAGTAAACATTGATTCAAAGTTATAATCCTCCTCACACCTAACCCTCATAATTTCTTATTTTTAGTAATTACCTCCCACCGGACCATGTGAACTTTTCTTCTAAGATCAGAGCCACCCCAAAGAAAAGTTGATTGCAATCTCTCAATCTCCTTAGCCACTCCAGCCGGAATTTTGAACAAAGATATATAATAGATTGGTAAAGAGGACAATACAGATTTGATTAAAGTTAGGCGCCCGGCAAAGGATAACAGCCTTCTCTTCCATGTGGACAATTTCTGTTTGAACTTGTCAAGAACGGGTTTCCAGGTGCTCCTCCTGCTAGGATTTGCCCCCAAAGGTAGTCCCAAATATTTGAGAGGCAACTTTTGGTGAAGACAATTTAAAGAGAAGGCAAACTCCTGCACTAATTCCTCATCCACCCCAACCCCACAGATGACACTCTTGTGGTAGTTAATTTTCAGACCCGAAACAATCTCAAAGCATCTTAGAATTCTTTTGATATTGGTCACCTCCACCCTATTTGCATCACAAAACATAATCGTGTCATCCGCGAATTGCAAATGAGTGACTCTAAGGCCATTAGAACCCACCTCGGCCCCTTTAATTAGGTCCAACTCTTTAGCTCTACTCAGTAAAATATTGAGGCCCTTTGCTACAATGTTGAATAAGAATGGTGACAGCGGATCTCCTTGTCTGAGACCTCTTTGTGGACAAAACTCAGATGTTGGTGACCCATTTACTAGGACAGAGATCTTGGCAGGGGAAACACAAGCTTTCATCCATCTAACCCACCTAGAACCAAAACCAAACTTTGACAACATATCAAATAAAAATTCCCAATTAATCGAGTCATAGGCCTTTTCAAAATCCAACTTGAGCACCAAACCTTTTCGGTTAGATCTCTTCCACCCATCCACTACTTCATTAGCTATCATAATTCCATCTAAAACATTCCTTCCCCCCAAAAAAGCTGACTGGGCCTCACCAATAATCATGGGCATCACCTTTTTCAATCTGTTAGCTAACACCTTAGCTAAGATTTTGTACAAAGATCCAATCAAGCTAATAGGCCTATATTCATTCAAGCAAGAAGGGCTTGAAACTTTTGGAATTAGGGCGATAAAAGAGCTATTAATTCCACCAACCAGACTAGCATTCTGATGGAACTCCATCATAAACTGTAACACATCAACCCGTACTATTTGCCAACATTTCTTAAAGAAGGACATGTTGAACCCATCAGGCCCAGGAGCCTTATTACCA